AAAAAAAAAAAAAAAAAAAAAAAAAAAAAAAAAAAAAAAAAAAAAAAAAAAATATCATGTTAACATAATTGTTTGAGGTACAAACAAATAATAGAGTAACCAAAATAAAAGGATAATTGATTGTACGTGTATTAAATTGTTTTAGCGAGCCAACAAAATAATACAGAGACAGGGTAGCGTTTTTTTTTTTTTTTTTTCCAAGTCAGTGGCGAACCAAATCTCGCACGCACATTGATATTTATATTTTTTTGCATAAGTATGAAACAAATGTGCGTCCATTGAAGAAACCATGTGTTAATGAAGATGAATAACAGTACGGAGATTGTAATATATATTTATTCATTTGTATGTATCGCACAAGCAGGAAAGCGTCAAATAAAGATAAATAGAAGTAGTGCGGAGAGTAGCGCGGATTTTTGGGACATGAGTTGGGAGCAGGAGGAGGAGGAGGAGGGAGTCAGGTGAGAAACAAAAAAAAAACGTGACCAATTAGACGCGAAAGGAAGTGGCATGTTTTCGTATAACATAAGGGGAGGACTCACCCGTCGGGCTTTGCTTTGGTACTTGAGTGCTTTTTTGGTGTCCTGCGTGGCCGTTTGCACATAGTCGACCGCGTGCTCCACGTGGTACTCTATGCGATCTATCATCTCGCCCTACGTTTTTACATGTTTAACGCAGCGAGGCGTGGCGTCGTTTTTTCGTTTTTCCACCCCAAAGATAGTAGTGGTAGTAGCAGCAACAGTGGTAGAGGTAGATTTACCAGTAGACCAGGCGAGCGAGTTAAGAAAGAAAGAAAGGCAACATAGCGAGTTAGTCAATGACCATATATATAGACACGACACGTGTGGCGGTTAATGATTGCTATCCAATCGTAAAAGAATTTCATTATTTTCTCTCGGGCTCTTTGAGTTTTTTAACGTATGCACAACCTGAATTTTTCGAATTGGGTGATTATGGTGGAAAATTATAAAATAACTTGCACTAAAAAATACATTTATTCATCACAACTCGAAGAGCCAGAAATTAGTTGTTACCGAAATGTATTATCTTATTAATTTGTTACACTATTTGGTCTAAAACGAGGACATGTTATTATGTGACGTGGAAAGAAATTGTGTATTAATTTATCAGCTTAGTTCGTTAAACTACTCAACATTTTTTTAGAAACATTTCGTCACTTATTTATGGTTCTCTCTCTTGCTCCTGTGGAGCAAAAAAAAATGTTGAGTAGACTTTTCAGTATAGCTATAAACAAGCGTTATTTCGGACGAGTTACAGTACAGGAAAATTGTAGTTATTGAAAGTGAAATAAGCCTAGGTAAAAATAAAAAACAGCGCCGCACCCACTGCTTTCTGTGCTCTTACGTTGCCGTTTAATAATGTAAGATCACACGGGAATTAAAATTTAAAAGTAAAAAACTCATTTTTTGCAAGCCACTCCGGGTCACATATGGGGACATATCATATTTTCATATTTATAATGACTTATTGACTAAAGTACCAACCACAACTTGAATTACGTTTCATCGACTAATGATCGACGCAGTGAACTATCAAGTTAAATCGTTGTGATTGGTAAACTGAAAAGAAAATTATTTTATGTTCAAGTTGCAGAAGCTCGAACATATTTAATTTTTCAATGAACAATTAAATGGAATAGAGAAAAAATAATTGTAGGAAGGATAAATTACCTGACTCTCCACGAGCATGGCCATATCCATGAACATGTCATGGAGTTCCCTAATGGAGTTTTCCAATTTAATGATATCGGCGTGACGCGCTTCGATATCTGCTAGAGTTTGTTTGGCTTGTTGCGTTTCCATGATTATCTGCAATTACATGACGCGTCATCGCAATTGTAATACCTACTCGATTCAATTGATAGACGCTTGTATCGTTTGTTTTTACAGCGTTACCAATCAAATTGCCCAGACTTGTGTATAATTTGATTGGATGGCTCTTGTTTATTGTAGTCACAAAATTGACTGCTTCTAGCCGAGCGCGTTACACGCATTTTCATTGATATAACATGTAAAAGGCGCATAAATATGCAATAAAAAAAAAAAAAAAAAAA